CCCCCGCCCAGCCTTGCACCTCCTGCACCTAGCCCCGCCCTCCTCGGGCCATGCTTCGGCTTCTGATTGGCTCCTTCCAAACCAGCTGACCAATGGGCGGGCCGGAGGCGAGGCCCCGCACACAATAGGCAGAGCCGAGGGGCGGAGCTTCGCTAAGACCGTTGGCCAATCCTAAGCGACACTCGGGGAGGGGTGGGGCTTCGAATCGGCCCTGTGGGGCGAGTGGGGATCAGAAGGCGGCCCCAAGCCGGGCTCGCCCAATCCCACATTGGGGCGGGGCTCTCCTCTCTGTGTCCAATGAAGAGGGAGGAGAGGGGTGAAGGCAAATCCCAGGCTCGGCCCCTACTCGGAGGCGGGCCTAGCTTCAGTGGGCCCAATGGAGCGCGGGGATCGGCCTTGCGCTGCCCAACCAGGAGGGCGGGCGTTGCGGGTTAGGCTGTGCGGGGCAGGGTTGGTTGGTCGGGTGTGTCAGAGCGCGGCTGGGGGGCGGGCCTGGCCGGGGCCGGGGATAAACACCCGGGTGGCAGCAGCGGCGGCGGCGCTCGGTGTGAGCGGGGCCGCGGGGGAAGATGGCGGCGCCCGGGGTCTGCGTCAACATCCAGATGCTGTTGGAGGCCGCCGAGTACCTGGAGCGCCGCGAGCGAGGTACGCGCGGGCCCCCCCGCCCCGCCTCTCCCTGCCCGGGCCGGGGGGGTCCCCGGGAGGGGTCGCCGGGGGGGTCCGGTGCTGAGGCCGCGCTGCACTCGTTGCAGAAGCGGAGCATGGCTACGCCTCGATGCCGCCCTACCGCGGCCAGCAGCGCGAGCGGGACGCCTGCCAGCGCCGGGGCAAGCCCAGGAAGAGCGGCGGCGGTGGCGGCAGCAGCAGCAGCAGCAGCAGGTAAGAGCCCCCGTGGGGACCGGGGCTGGGGGCTCCGGACCAGTGGCGGGCGGGTGGACTCGGGCGTGGGGGAGTCGGCCTGAAGGGGAAACTGAGGTCGGGGGTGGGGGGCAGGAACTGACACGAAGGGGAGGCTGAGACGACGGTGGGGCGTCCGGCCTGGAGCAGGGATGGATCCTGGAAGGGAAACTGCCCCGGGAAGGGCTTTGGAGGGGAAGGGGCCCTTCTCAGGAGGGGGGAGCCCTCCCTGCTGCAGGAGGTGGTGCTGGGGGGAATTGAGGTTGTGGTGGGGGGGTGTCCCCCCTGGAGAGGAAATGCTAGAGGGGGGAGCTGATGTTGGTGGGGGCAGGGATGACCCTGGAAGGCTAGGAGTAAACACTGGATTTATCTACCGTGGGTAAGATAACTTCCAGTGCAACAACCCCTCTGCCTCCTCCACTTGAAGGGATATGTGCTATCCAGCCATGGGGGTATGCCCACAAGAATATCCTCTGCCAATCCAAGCCTTGTCTGAGGATACTGGAAGGGAAATCGGTCCTTTGTTCTCCCCCCTCCCCCAAGGCTAGCTTTGGAAATGGAAAAGAAAAAAACACCCCAGCTTTGTATGCGTGTCAAAGCCAAAGGTTAGGCAGACTTGCAATGATAATCCTTAATACTTAAAGATCTTTTGAAACTGAGGCAGTGTATGAAGAAGGAAGTGCTATTTCAGTAGAAATCCTGTCTTTGCTCTAGCAAACACATGCCTCACTTCAATGCCTCGATCTTGGGTATTTTTTTAAAATGGCAGTGCACTCAAGCCCAGATGTTCAGAGGTGAAGTTGTCACACATCTGAGTGAAAGGGCACTGCCTGTGTTTAGACTGGTGCATTTTTAATTGTGGCAATATTGCATTAAAAAATTGGATTATCCATAAGTAGTGGTCGCCAACCCCTATCTTTTAAGCAACTAGTTGCCTTCCTGTTGCTTGTGGCCACAGGAAGTTATAAAGTTAAAAGAGAGGCTCACAGGAGAGTAAATGACAGTTTTTGGTCTGTAGCCTGTTAATTGCTTGGAGTACTTGATCACATGTCATGAAGTCTCTACAAAAAAGAGATCTCTCTCTCTCACATATGTCACGTGACTTGATAGAAATGAGTTTTCTAAAGCAAACATGGGAATAGAAAGAGTCACATCTCTAATTGAAATTTATTGACAACATTGGATTTAAATTGGTAACAAAGTCTATTTCTCTCTGAACCTCCAAGTATTCTTTAACTCAAGCTAAATTATAAATTTGAGTGTAGAAAGTGACATGACTCTCTTATTGGGCATTTTAAATTAATTTTTGTGCTTCTACTACCACTTTTTTTTTTTTGACAGGCTGACTTATGTATTGCTCCTCTTGAAATATGGATAGAGCTTTGCTGTACATTATTAATTTTTTATTTAAATATGTACCTTGTTTCTGGGATAGCTAAGAGTGTTAAATCGTTGAGTGCCTGTGGTGGAATATGGGTTAGAACTGCTTTGTGTTACCCAGATTTAATTCAGTTAAACTGAATCCAAGCTTTTGCTTGTCCAATTTAAGTTTCAGTTTCTGCAGGCCACCTTTAGCTTAATTATGTGTTGAAGACTTGTAGATTGAACCCTTGAGTTCCTACGTCACCTTTTTAGGTGCTTGAAGTTCCTTTGACTCATTTCTTTTTATGCATGTTATTAGCCTCTCCTTTTAGGTAAACACTTGTGTTGGAAAACAAACTAATAGAAATCAGGAAGTTCACAGTTAAAGCTGTGTCCTTACTCTCACCCTGTTTTGACTGTGGTTAATGGTTGAGGATCAGTACGTGAGCTGCACCATATATGCAGCAACAGTTAAGTACAGCATAGCAAATGAAGGATGGGATTTCAGTGTTCACTTTCAACTGGCCATTTCTTGGATTTAGATTCAAACCCTAATGTTGTTTTGAATCTTAATAGGGTCATGGACATCTTCCTAGCACATTTCTTAGCATAGTGTGGACTGTGGGTGCAATAAGGTAGAGAGTGTCCTGATGAGTCTCTAGCACCTCTGTACAAATGGCATTATAATATAAGCTGAAGGGTTGTTGGGCTTAAGTATATGCTTTAAGTTACTGGAAAAATGTATCCTTTAAACCTTCTGCTCAATGTCAGGTTCTACCAAAGGGAATATTCTTGTGGCTGGGAAGGAGATGGGGGGGCTAAAGTGGAAGACTTGACTTAATTTGTGGGGGTAGTGGGGGGTAAAAATTGACATTTTTTTTTTTCCTAGCCTGCCTGGGTTGCAGATCTCTCCACCACTGTACTTGGGATTTTAGAGAGTATTATAAAGGCCTCTGGAGCAGGTGTTGGGAAGCGAGCTTTTTAGAAGCTGTGTATGCAGCTTCTATGTCAGATGAGCTAAAAAAGAAAACATAATGGAGAAATATGTAGCCTGAAGTTGGAGGGAGTTCAGCTCTGGATGTCTGCTGTGGGATGTGCATTTCCTTTTGATTTGGCCTATTTTTAACTTCTAGTCAGTGTCATTAGACTCTTGTTGTGAACGTTTCTTTTGCCCCCCAAGTTAAAGGGGTGGTGTCCAGTTAACCAAAAATTTGACAGAAATTTGCTTTTAAGGTAATATCAAACATTTCTTTAGCCAAAAGAGGTGTGGGTGGACGGATGCAGATTAGCTTCTTTGATAGGTTTGCGTCATCTTTTTCACTCTTCCTCTGTATAGCTTGCGGCCCATTCGACTCAAATTGGCTTCAGTGGAAAATAAATCAGATCTTCCACGTGGAACTTGCATGCAGCAGTGGAGGGAGACCAGGTGCATGCACAAATAGGAAAACTGAATTGTAAACCACAGCTTGGAGTGGTCTAGGGCATGTTACCTGAAGGTACATCTGACTTCTTTTGTTGAAGATGGTTAGATTTCAAACTGATAGGTTTCCTTCACTGCCAATTGTTGGCTGCCTTTTACAGAAGGAAAAGTGATTCCGGCTTATAGAATGGAATATGTTAAGATTGTTTCAGTGGAATTTTGTAGACTATAGCGATTCTTCTGGGTCTGTATTAACATAGGTATTTATTAAAAGATTATGTTTCAAAAGTTGTCCTAGTGCTTGGTAGAGTGAAGAATCTAAGTTCTTGATTTTTGGTAGATATGAAATTTGGTATCTGTTTCTGAGCATGTTTTTTGGGTGATATTAAGCAATAGCCTTGTCTGTCTAGTGATGAGTGAGAAGCTGGAGATCTTTCTTCTATAGCTGTTTCAGGCTAAGGTCAGCTTTGACAGGTCTGTCACTGCTGTATGCTTGGCCTAGTCCACATATCTGGAATGGAAATTCTGGAACACAGCTGAGCACAATTAAGTGGCAGTGGCTCTTCTAGGCAAGCCAACTAGAGGCACTTCTTGTTTCCCTTCTGTAAGTGTATAGGTACTGTCTATGTGTGGTGGACAGGCATTTAGTTAGTTGCACGTATGGTTATAGTGTTCTCTGTTCCATCCCCTGTGATGGGTGCTGCTCTTTGTTTTTAGCCTAAAAAAAAAAAAGAGGTAAGCATTGAGGTTGTTTTGCAACAGATGGGAAAGATGATAAAATTTTTTGCAAGAATGACTGTGTTCGGTCTCTTTCCAGTAGCTAAAAAATGAGTAGATATTTTCATAGAAGAAATGAATACAGCATTAAGAGATGAATCCTGTGCATGTGGCAAAATGCAAACAAACTGCTGTCAAGCTTGGGTTGTAAAAATAGTTCACCAACTAACACAAATCTTTTATGCCCATAAACTGGTTACCACTCAGCAAATTGCTGTAAAGTGTTCCAGGACAAAAAAATCTGCAATGCCAGAGAGAAGGCGTTCCATTCATAAAGTTGTCTGGGTAATAAGGATCTATAGCTTTGGCTATCCCTATTGAACGTGGCTTGTTTATGACTTATTGCCCTGAATATTAAAATCCTAAATTCAGTGTAGAGAGTGTTGGACTGAAAGGTTATAGGCAATTAGAATTCAGAGGCAGAGAGGGGCCAAGTCTTTTTTTTTCCTCTGGGTTTTATATGAAGAAGTCAGATGGGGAAACTGGTGGAAGCGAAAATGCATGTTTTCTCTCTCTCCAGCCTTTTATGGATTGCCTGATAGGGAGAGCTTACCTTTCAGTTATGTCAGAATGATGTGCATCCATTTAAACAATCACCTAAGAAATATGGACCTTTCATTTTCAGCTGAAATCAAACAACTTGTGATTTTTTTTTTTTTTTTTTTT